TTCCCCTGCTCTCCTTGCTGCTTCCCTTCAACTCCCTGGTCTCACAACATATGGTTTCAAATTCTCCAATTGCAGAGATTCAAACCTGTGGAACACTTATCATGACTTTTTACCTTTTTATTACACAACACATCCACAAAGACAATGAAGTTCTTTTGTTTTGCCTTTAAAATACAGTCAACTATCTCCCTACTTTTCATTACAGCCTCTGTTGGGTCAAGGGTGTGCACAAGGAAGACCTCGCAGTGGAGATTTTCTTCTCTCTCTCTTCCATGACACAGGGCCTTGCTGCTCTGCTCCTTCCTCAATCTCTCTCCCAGGCAGAGTCCTCAGCTGCAACTTGTTTTTCTGATTCATCAACCTCTTCCTCTCACACAGAGCAGGCTGTGCTGTGCTGCTCCCCAGACAGCGGTGCAGGAGGACAGCTGGGCCTCCGCAGGCAGAGAGGTTTGTGTTCAGGGCTATAGCACTGTGGGAGGGTCATGTGTATTTTGCACACAGTAATAAACTCCAGCATCCTCAGCCTCCATCCTGCTGATTTTGAGTGTGAAATCTGTTCCTGACCCACTGCCAGTGAACCTCTCTGGGGTCCAAGAGTACTTTTCAGAAACCTCATAAATCATAGCCCTTGGAGCCTGGCCAGGCTTGTGCACCAACCAGTGCAAATAAGTGTCTCCATCACTATACAGGAGGCTCTGACTGGACCTGCAGGAGATGGAGGCTGGCTCTCTAGGGGAGACAGATAGGGAGAGCGGAGTCTGGGTCATCACTACATCTCCTGTGGATCCTAAAATGATGAAGGAGAAGTGCAGTGTCAGGAGCCAACATCATAAGCCATTTTGATAGATTTCTGTATTTTGTCACTATCAAGTGAAATTAGTATCTTTAATGTAATGTACAATGAAAGATTTTCAAATTTGAGATTGTGTTCAAGGTTTCTAATTACAAGAACCCCTCTAGAATTCATCTCAGCACCTCTCTCTTTCTTTGCGGCAATCTTCATCAAAGGGCAGTTATTGAGTGCCTCAGGAATTTTCTTCACCCATTGATATAACCTCCCACACCCACGCTTCAACTCAGGACTGCACATCTCATGTATGGACAGGACTGATCAGGTGGAGTGGGACCCTGAAAGTCACCCTCTCAGACTGAGTCCGCCTCATCTCCCAGTGTTCTTACCATTGATCCAGAGTAATAGCAGCCCTAGGACCTGAAGAGGGAGCCTTATTTCGAGAAATTGAACTGAAGATTCCTGATCAGGCAGGGCCACCATAAATCTAGCTTTTATCTGAGACTCAATTGGGAAGGTCCTCCCTTGGGAACAAAATGCAAATTCCCAGGTGGGTGCAGTGGTGCAGAGAGTGAAGAGCATGGTGGGAGGCTTCTCATGGGAGCCCAGTGGTATAAAATGTCTGCTGCATTTGGGGGAAAGCAATAGAGCTACAATCCATTCTTTATGCAGCAATGGGTACAAAGATCTCTGGGAAAATCTGATTCTGCAGCATAGACACAGTGCTCATGACTCTGCCCATCCCAGACAGGACTTCAGTTCCCATGATACAGGGGTTTGTGTAGATCAGTCTCTGGGAGGGGAGTGCTCATGTTTCTTAGCCTTATGGAAAAGGAAGCAGCAATTGTAAGTTTATCAGAATTCATTTTTTTAGCATTTTCTAGCATTAACACCATTTAGTAGTGATGAGAAGACCTTTTTTTATAACCAGGCAACATTCATCATCTTAGAAACAAGTATTAGAAATAATCTTTTCCTTGAAACAGGAATTAAATGACATAGTAGCACTAAAATCAAAAGTATATGATACAGAGAAAAACATCTGTATTCAAATTGGAAACCAGTAACTCTGTCTTATATAATATGCTCTATCTTATACAATACGACTTATATAGGCGGATATGAAACTCCTTGTGACTAGATTTTCAAATTGGTCAATATCTGTTCAAGCTAGTCTTGCAGACACACACACACACAACACACACACACACACACACAGCAGTTTTATTTTTTAGGCAAAGATTTCTCTTGGTTTTATACTAAAGGAGAAATAATTGATGCTAGTTTTTTCTGAACTATCATAAAGCAAGCTTTTCATAGCTAATTTTTGTTTTAATAAATACTGTGTAGTCATGCTCCACAGTTTAAAGAGACATTCTCAATGTCAGATGTCCCCACTGAATCCAGGGTTTAAAGCCTCAGTGTAGTTTGAACCAAAGGCTGCTATGGTCCTGGAGTTTATCTGAGATGGGAGAGAGTTAAGCCAAGCTATCATTGGTCTGTAAATTCGTGTGATTTTTTATTGCAGCCCAAAGCTGCCGTGTGCCTCTCACAGATTTGGGAAGGAATATTTGTGGCAAAATTAGTAAATAAGGATGCTATCATGTGTGCTTTTATTGTAAATAAGGGACGCTGTTTGTACTTATTGGGTGTGCGTGTGTGTTGGGGCTTAAACCTATGACATTCACACTGAGGTGTATCGCCAGTCCTTTGTATTTCTCTGATTTTGAGACTGTGTCTCAGCATTGTTCACCTGCCCAGTTTCTGCCCCACCTGTCCATCCTTCTCACTCAGCCTCACTGTGCTGGGCTGACTGTTGCTCACTATCTGTATTGGGTGACTGTCTTCTGAATATGTGGGTGCCTACCAAAAAGTCTGAGAAGTTGAAACATTCATTTTTTGGTCCTATCTGGACTCCTTAGGCCCTGTTCCTCATCTGTCTCACCAGGATCAGTAGGAATGAAATGAAAAAAATTTCAGCTCATTGGATCAGACACATGACAAAGTTCTAAAGCTTAACACACAGTGGGAGGAGACCAGGAATTGTTAGCGTCCGACTCAGACACATTGGGCCAGGTTTCATATTCTTGTCCTTGTAAATAAAGGAGGCTTTAAAAACCACATGCTGTTTGGCTGTGTTGTATTGAAGTGAATGAGCATCTTGGGTGAGACTCATATCAGGGTATAATAATTTGTTTTAATATTTCATAGCTAAGAATAGAATTATAGCAATAATCTTCTGAAAGCAAAATTAATGGTGATATTACACTGATTAAATCAATTAATAAACCACAAATTGAGTTGTGAATATTTGTGGCTTAATTATGAGGATGATGTCAGTGCTTTTATAGTGTGTATAAAATGTATTGGGATGTCAATTTTCTACAGCTGATTAGTGGTTTATTTTTCCTTGGTTTCCTTTACTTCTTAAATAATATGAAGTTTAAAATTTATTTCCTAAATATCTTATCCTAGGAACCAGATCAGAAGAATTGGAAGAGCCCTTTGCTGTCTGATATTTCCAGTGATAGTTACCTATCTATATGAGTTTTAGTACCTAGCATAGCTGACTTTGTAATCTATGGCTCTTTACATAGCAGCTGTGAGCATTCTTGAGGATTTTGTATTGCTGTATCCTCCTCCAAACAGGGTTTCATTTTGCACTTCATATACCACACTCAAGGTTAAAATTCCCAATCTTTCTGAAGCAGACATTTTTGAAATACAGATATTAGCTCATATTGGTCTGTACTCATTACTTTCAAGGAAATCTTGTTTTTTTAAATCTCATTTCCTAGGGTACTTTGAGCCCTCTTTTCAGTTCATCAGTTCATTCCTGTGGGAATGGTAATTTCTATTCCCCCTCTGCTGTACACTTCACCCACAGAGAGCACTTGTGAGCCAGTTTAGTTTAGGCCCCTAGGAGTCTGCACAAAGCGAGTTCTGGCTCAGGCTTCTGCTGTGTGGCTCATGCCCAGGGGGAGACCAGAGCTCCTGTTTGCTGTTCTCTTCAATACTTTCCAGATGAATGTGACAGGTGCTTAGGCAGGTTTGGTGACAAAATTTAAAAATGAGTCCAAATTTTTCCCTTTTGTCTTTCCTCTTCTCTCCCCTCTCCTGCCTCTTCCTCCTGCTTTCTTTCTTCACTTGTCCTCCCACTCCCTTTCTTCAGTTCTCTCTTTTGTGTGCTTTCTGTGCCCTGTTTTATTATTTCACGAGGATTGTGGATCTGAGGTAGCCGGGGTGTCGCTGTGTAGCCTCAGCCTCTTTAGATGGATGTTTTACTTGCAACTAAAGCTCTCTGCATCACGCCTAGTAGCTGTAACTGGCGAGTTCCCCAGTTGGCTTTAGAGCTTCTAGTTTGTCCTTTGTATCTGTTTTTGTCACACAAATACATTTTCTGTGATATTTTGATTCTGTATCAGCCACATTCCCAATGCATTGCACATGTCTAAGGAGAAACCAGTTACTCTTCTAAATTTGAATCTCAGGTAAGGAATTTATTCTGCAAGTGAGAGCTTCTGCAGAATTGTGAATTTTTTAGTAGAAATTCATTGTAACTCTTGTAATATCCAGGAGTGATGATGTAACCTGGGGTATCTTAGGAAAGTCCCAATACTTGACAGTGAACTATTGTGGACTTCAGAAAACAGAGTGGACCCAAAGCGCCCCGTCCTGCAGTACCTGTTTGGAGGTGGCCTCATGAGACACTTGTGGAGAGGGGAAAGATCACCCTCACGCTTGCTCAGAGTTGAAGTGGTTGTCACTCCTCTTGTGGAGGACCCTGCCTTGTATGGAGATCAGTAGACCCATCGCATTTGGCTGGCTGAGGGGTGTGGTTTTGAATACAGTGAGAGTAAGACCATGTGGCAGATGGTTCCTTTCATCTGCTGCCTCTTGTAGTGTAGGAGTCAGTGGTCAATTCTTTTCCTCTAGTTTGTAACACATTTACAGATGTGACCTCAGATGGACCTCAGCTCCATCTCTGAAAGTGCAGAGTGAATACATGTGCCCCACATGTGCCTATCTGGCCAGCAGGCTCCAAGGCTAGGTGCAGGGGTAGCAGCTCCATGCACATAAGCACATGCACATAGACAAATGTCGTGAGTGTCTTAGAGCACTCTGAACTCCGGGCAAGGTAAACACGCACACACGCCTGATTGGGACACGGGGGGTACAGTGCTCGGAAAAGAAAGACAGGAGAGACACCTTTACTGTCTGCACCGCGTTACACTGCACTGCACGCACAATCTTTATTTTAGGATTCATATATAGTAAACCCGATCAGTTCACAGAGCCCAGATAATTAAGTGGTGAAAAGGCATTCTTTGTGGCAAGCTACAACGTGACAGACTACAATGTTTATTCTAAAACTATCTAAGTGAAGTAAATAATCACAACCAGTTCTCATAACTTCTCTAGCCCAGGAAGAAATTCATTAGCTCAAGAATGTTGTTAATTTGTCTGCTGTTAGTGTCACAAAGGGTGGCCAGCCACTTCCTCAAGACTTCTGCAAAACAAAGCCAGCTCACAGTATGGATTCCAGAGGGTGAGGGGTCTCACTGAGAACAGGCATTCCTATTCTACCTCCTTCTCGCATACCAGGGCGGCTATTGTAAATTGCAGGTTAGAGGGGGTTGGGCCTACAAAGTGACACCTCATCCCCCACACTTCCTTCCTTTTTATTTTTTAACAATAATTTCCATAAGATCAGGTTATTAATAGTATTTCGTCTTATGCAGTAAAAATACACAAGAACTATGGCAATGAGAACTATAATTAAACTAAGTCCCATGCCACTTAAAGTGTGGGTTATGCTCTGCCAGATTCCTTTGGAATCTAATCCTTTCAAAGATTGAGCAAGCAATTGCGCGAATTGTGCCAGGGATTCATCATCATTTTGCTTTGCAAAATCCTTGTCAATTTGATTATGCAAAGATTCTATTTTCTCCTGGGCAGAGGTGTTTCCATTTAGATACATTCTAATCACTTCCCATTCATGTTCTGTTTGATTATAAGGTCGTTGGGTTATACAGAAAGTAGTTGAATTCCAATCACATTTTAAAAACATTTGATGCTGAAGAGCCAATATTTTTCTACCCATCCATTCAACTGTTTGTTTAAGGAGGTCTATTTGTTGTTGTAGTTTGGCATTTATTTGCCACTGAGTTAACCAAAGTTCATGAGAATTCTCATGCCATAATTCTACAACATGTTTTTCTTGCAAAGAGGTTTGTAAAGCTATTCCTGAGACTGCTGCTAGGGAGGCTACAGTTATCAGACTTAACAGTACAGCAACCACTATTCCAATAAATCTTTTTGTACGTTTTAACAGATGTTTAAAAAATTCAGTAGTAACAGAAATTACTGGGTCTTGAGACCATGGTCGAGTTAAATTTACAGGCAACCAAATATGAGTTTTTTGTTGTAACAGCATAACTGTATAAGGCTTAGTGAAATTTAGTGTGCTATTTAAGCATGTAAACAATTGACAATTTAAACAAGTACAAGAAAAATGTGTAAAATTAAAAGTTCCCACTAAAAAGACATAAGGCAGAGGTGCACAAACAGTAATATTATACATTTTAAACCTAGTAAAATTATAAGTAGTAGATACAGATCGACTAGTCCCTGAATAGGAAACATTGTACAAGGTTACAGGTTGCATAGCGGCTGGAATCTTCCAAATATGATTTTGAAGGTGATGAGGGTATTCTTCGGCTGCAACAGCAGGGTTAGCGATTCCACCATCTCCCCACCACAAAAGAGACGTCTTCTGAGGAAATATAGGAGCTCCGTCAGTTATTTTCTTTGGATCTGGAAGACTATACACAACAGAGAGATTACATCTTGTCTCATTCCATTCAGCACATCCATTAACGAATTTTCCAAATGGTCCCCAAATAATATACCCATCAATATTTTTAGCAAATTTTCCCATACATAGTTGCCAAATTATGGGATTATAAGAAATATTTTTATAAGTGAATTCAGGGCATACAGGAAATGTATTTATGTCAGGTGCTGTTAAATTTCTCCAGGTAACATTAAAGGTTTGAGCAGCCAAGGCTTGAAGCCTTGTCCTTTTGTTGCCTGCTTTTATTCCATGTTGAATCCAATACTGCCATCCCAGAGGGATGCAAGGTGGTTCCCCAATGCAAATAGGCCTTTGATTACCATAATAAGTAAAATTGAATAATGTCCCATCATCTTGATTGTGGGGGGTTAAATCAGCCCACGGTGCTGACAAAATTTCTCTAGGTGTGGTATAAAGTAAAATATCACTAGTTCCCCATTTTACAGGTTCTAATAAAGGGGGATTTGGAATATATGCCCAGTACGAATGTGGAGGTACCTCAGTCCCCGATGCAACGGTGAGCAAGGCACATAAAGCTAAAAACAAGTTTTCAGGGTTTAAAGGCTTTCCTGCTTGAAGGACAAGCCGTTGCCCTTCTATGGTCAATTTCTTTAATTGTCCCCATGTAGGGAGGGGATTTAAATTTGGTCGCTGTGAGCGGCGGGATTTTCTTAGCTGTAATCTGGCCATGGCTGCGATAGGAACAAGCTCAGCATCTTTAGCCTCTAGCTGGTTTCGCGCTCGCTTCTGAAGGCACGGTTCCGGTTCCTTGGGGAGTTGTCTCCGGGGCTGGCGAACAGGGTCTGGAGGCGCGGATCCTGATCCATCGTCCAGGGACCCACTGCTGAATTCCATTTTCTGTGGAGATATAACCAAAACCTTTCCCCTTATAGAGCAGTGTGCCCTTCTCCCATTCAGCCTCTGGAGCTGTTTTAGTCCAAATAGGTTCATTAATCACAAAGGGCTGTTGTTGCTGTTCGAAATGTCTTTCAGCTCTTGTTAATATTTCACCTTGTGGTAAATTGAGAAAATTTAAAATAAACAATGCTTGATGCAGTAATGTTTTTGGACTGTTTTGCAATTTAAACAGTATTGGTATCTGAATATCCTCCTGACTCCTCCTTTTTAATTTTTTAATTTGCAACTTAAGAGTGCCATGTGCTCTTTTAACAATAGCTTGACCCTGGGGGTTATATTTAATCTCTGTAATATGAATAATATTATGGAGATCACAAAATTGTTTAAATGTTCTGCTAGTATAAGCAGGTCCATTATCTGTTTTGATTTTAGAAGGAATTCCCATAACTGCAAAAGTCTCCAATAAATGTACAATAACATTTTTAGTGGATTCTCCCTGTTGAGCAGTAGCCCATAGAAATGAAGAATAGGTATCAATAACTACATGTACATAAGAAAGCCGACCAAAAGAAGGTACATGTGTAATATCCATTTGCCATAACTCATTAGGTTGAGTTCCTCGAGGGTTGAAATGAGTTGAGCTATACGTTCTCCCTTTAATAATTTATAATCTGTAAGTGAGGACATCAGAATTTGAATTTCTCCAGTATAATCTGCATCTATAATTCTTAAGTGAACCGTAATGCCTTTTTGATTTAAACTAGATCTACCCGTGAGCAAGCCAAAAGTTCCCGCAGGCAGGGGACCAAAAATTCCTGTAGGAATTCTCACGGGAGATTGTCCTCCTCTTAATTCTACATCTTTTAAGGCTGGTATGTCCACTGCGGCGCTGTGTTGGGTGGCTGGCTGTAGGGAGAATACGGTAGATTTACCCCATTGATTTGTCCGGGGCCCGGGGTAGGGCCCGCTCTCCCGTTTCCCTTCTGTTCAGCTGAATTAACTTGTTTACTCCTGCATTCACGAGCCCAATGATTTCCCTTCTTGCATTTTGGACATAAGCCAGGAGCTCTAGATCTCTTTTTTTGATCATTGCCTACAAGTTTTGGACAGGCCCTCTTTACATGTCCTGTCTGACCACAATTAAAGCATTTTAAAGACTGTTCCTTTTTAGATTGCCAATTAGTCCACGTGGTTGCCATGGTTTCAGCAAACAGTTGCATTTTCCTAGATTCTGAATTTAAATCTTTACATTGTTTTATAAAATTGTCAATCGTTCCAGTATCTTTTATTGGAATTAAAGCCCTTTTGCATTCATCATTAGCATTTTCAAAAGCTAACATTTTTAAGAGATGCTCTTGTAAGTCTTGTCCCACTACTGTTTTTTCTATAACATTTTGAAGTCTTGCAACGAACTCAACATACGATTCATTGGCTCCTTGCAGAACTTTAGCCCAAGATCCATATTCTGATCCTTTAGACCGTATTTTATCCCAAGCTTTTAAAGCAATATCTTTTAATTGAGCATGAATCTCTCTTGGAGCTCCTGCCTGATGCTCAACAGTATCAAAGAAACCTGTACCAGAGAGCATGGGATAAGAAATGAGTCTAATATTAGGATCTCGATCGTCAGCATTTTGTCTTGCCTTTTCCGCACAACCTTCCATAAACCACATGTGCCACTGTAAATATTCTGGCTCCTTTAAAAGAATTTTGGCCAAGGCCTTCCAATCATAAGGAGCAAGATTACCATACTGATCTGCTACCGACGTTATTAATTCTTTAGTGTAATGAGCCTGAGGGCCATAAAGGGTTACAGCCTTTTTTAATTTTGCTAAATCATCTATATTAAATGCTTCCCATCTAGGGGGAACTGCCGCTCCATCTATTGGCTGCGGCCTGATTACAGGGAAAGCAAAGGCAGGCTTTTCCTCATCAGAATCCCCTAATTTTGGTAGATCAGCCAAAGCTAGCTTGGCTTTACTCCAATTAGGGTTAGATGGAGGAGGTGCAGAGGGAACTACAGGCGGGTTCTGCTTAACGGAGAGTTGTTTCACCTCTTGTGTTAAATGCTGTATAGCCTGTAAAATTGGGCGATTGTCATAATTTGATATTGCTGCGGCAGCTAAAGCTGAGTCGGCTGTAGTGGATTTTACTTTTAGTTTGGACGCCTTTTCACTACTTAAAGCGATAGCGTCATTTTGAACTACATTTTGCTCCTCCTCTGTGAGGGGCAATTCCTGAATAACTGGCTTAATTTCTAGTTGAAGATTTTCTACAATATGTTCATCTTCCATAGCTTTTAATAAAGAGTACACAACCGACCAAATCGCCCAAAAACGTAAAGGAATCTTTTCCTCCTGTTGCATAGCCCTTTCTATACTAACCCTTGCCTTCCTCCATACTTCTACATCCAAAGTTCCTTCATCTGGAAACCAAGGATTATATTCTTTAATTGTATCAATACACATATCCAAGTCAGCTGACCTGAGCGATATGCCATATATAGATAATAAATGTTTAAGAATTTTTAAGAAAGGAGAGGAAGCAGATTGTCCCATTTCCCCGTAATAAAATTATACTTACCTTCCTAAGCGACCTTCGGAGTCCCTGAATTCGGGCGCCACTTGTCGTGAGTGTCTTAGAGCACTCTGAACTCCGGGCAAGGTAAACACGCACACACGCCTGATCGGGACACGGGGGGTACAGTGCTCGGAAAAGAAAGACAGGAGAGACACCTTTACTGTCTGCACCGCGTTACACTGCACTGCACGCACAATCTTTATTTTAGGATTCATATATAGTAAACCCGATCAGTTCACAGAGCCCAGATAATTAAGTGGTGAAAAGGCATTCTTTGTGGCAAGCTACAACGTGACAGACTACAATGTTTATTCTAAAACTATCTAAGTGAAGTAAATAATCACAACCAGTTCTCATAACTTCTCTAGCCCAGGAAGAAATTCATTAGCTCAAGAATGTTGTTAATTTGTCTGCTGTTAGTGTCACAAAGGGTGGCCAGCCACTTCCTCAAGACTTCTGCAAAACAAAGCCAGCTCACAGTATGGATTCCAGAGGGTGAGGGGTCTCACTGAGAACAGGCATTCCTATTCTACCTCCTTCTCGCATACCAGGGCGGCTATTGTAAATTGCAGGTTAGAGGGGGTTGGGCCTACAAAGTGACACCTCATCCCCCACAGACAAACAGAAATGGACACACACAAATACACATGCACACACATACACACACACACACACACACACTTTCCTGGTCATGCCTAGGGGCTAAGATATAGCAGAGCTCACCTGTCAGCAGAATCTGCTGTTGGAGAGGGAAGCACACCTGTCCTGGGCTGGGATCTACCACTCTCCTCACATAAGTACTAATTCATTTTTAGAAAACCTAGAAAAATACTTCTGTCATATAACTTTCTCAGCAAGAGAATTCTAGAGTTTGCTTCACTTGCTCTGCTTTGTTTTGTGTTTTCCTTTACCACATTTATTTATTTATATTTAATGTGGTCCAGTATTTTGATCTCTCGTCCTTTTTTTATTTCTATGACTCATTTTCTTATTGTTGTATTATGCTGTTTATTTTATCATTTTTTCAGTCCCCTTTTAAGCTTATTATATTATCAAATTCATCTTTATTAATTTATGTGTTTCTAGTTCACTCTGCACTATTTTGACCCTTTTTTATTTCTACAGTTGATACATTTGTTAAATTAAATTGATTTTTTACTGTATTTCCATATCTTGATGGGTACTGATGGAAAGACAGAGCTTTACATAACCATAAATTCCCTAACTACTGTTGATCCATGTTAGATATTCCTTGAGAATTCTCTTGCCCCTTTGGATCTTGTTATGTTAGTGGGTTCTGTGGCATTCCTGTGACAAATGAGGGGTCATTTCCTGTTTTCAAGTCACTCCTGCATTCTGATGAGGTCAGATTCGTAAATGAATTGGGTGTTCAGTTGTGCCCACTGGATTGGTGGGGAACATGTGATACAGCCTAGTGCATACATGGCCAGGATCATTACTAATCTTGGTGTTAGCCTTCCATGATGCACCCTTCCTCCATATTGCAATTGGGTCTGATCCATACTTGAAAGTGAAAAAGGTACCTCTTTAACTCTGATCCTTCCTGAGTAGTAGGCTGGGTCTCCCAACCTGTAAACCAGACTGACACCACCTCATCCCCTAGTGAACCTTACACAATAAGCAAAAAAAGGTAGATAGAGTACAAATGTTATACACCAATTGCATCTTATTAACCATCTCAGGTTTACATCCAAATTGAAAAAAAAAAAGAATAGAATTTGCAAAGCTCAAGGAACCTGTGGAAGTCAGCCACATCCTCTTTATGTGGCAGAGTCTGCACAGAACATAGGTCCCCATGCTCTTTTGATTTTCTACTTAGTCATGCACAGAGGCCTTTTCTGCACTCTGCTGTACTAATAAACTCTTCTGGTGTGCCCAACATTGCAGGTGACCAGCTGGACCTTCCAGGCCGGGAGGATTTTTCTCAGGGTTGCATCACTGGGGGAGGACATCCTATTCCTTGATAACAGTAATAAACTCCAGCCTCCTCACCCTGACCTCTGCAGATTTTGAGTGTGAAATCGTTTCTTGATAAGCTGCTAATGCACCTTTCTAGGACCGAAGAGTGCTTTTTGAAAACCTGAAAAATCATGCCTTGTGGAGCCTGGTATGGCTTATGTACCATTATCTCAAATAGATGATTCCATCACTATGCTCAAGACTCTGTTTGGAACTAGAGGAGAAGGAGCCTGGTTCTCCGGGTGCCAAAGAGAGTGAGAGAGAGTGGGGTCTTGGCATCTGAATATCTCCTGTGGACCCTTAATCATTGGATAGAAAGACAAGGTCATGTACAGGCATGATGATTCATTTTCATATTGTCTCCATTATTTCATATTTGAAGCTAAATTATTTTTGCGATTTTCATATATAGGAAAAAGTGTTCACTTATAATAAAGTATCCAACATTTGCACCCACTTGAGAATTAATGTGGATCATCCTTCTCTTTCATTGTGACATCATCACCTCACCATAGCTCCAACTCCAGTGGAATTTTCCTCACTCACACAGACCTCAAGCTCTTGTTCTCACCCTGTTCCTGAAGGATGCAGTCTCTCACATGGAGAGAACAACACAGGTAACAGTGGGACCCCATCCCACTCACTCATTCTCCATCCTCATCTCCCTCCATCCTTACCAGGGATGCAGAGCATTACCAGCTCCAGGAAATGAGCAGGGAGCCTCATTTTGAAATGCTGAAATGAGGGTCCAGATGAATCAAGACAGGTTGAGTTTTTATCTGGAACTTGAAGGGAAGCCTCTCCTTGGGGACATCATGCAAATGTCCTGGTGGGCATAGTAAAGGGCAGGATGGGAAGCCTCTCCCATGAGCAAAGTTGCTTCAAATCTCTATATTTGGGGAAAATCAGAAGAGCAAAGTCCATGTGCTGTCCAGCACTAGGAGGAAGGATCCCATTTCTAAAGGCCCTGTCCATACTGCAGCATGGTGCCTCAGTGCTCTTCCCCAGTAAGGAAACCACTGCCTCCTCCAGTTACTGCTCAGCACAGCAGCTTTGTGCTAGTGACAACATGGAGCCTGGAGAGGGCTTCTGGCAAATGTGGTTTAGAGGTGAACTATTGAGATGTTAGTCTTCATGGGCACAAGGGTTACACACCATGGGGCACTGCTGTCAACAGAATTTTCCAGGAATATAAAAAAAAATTTCTGTTTCAGATAGAGAATTAGGTGTCCTGTTGAAGGCAAGTGGAGAAAGAGACAATGATTGTGCATTAGGTAATCAATACATAATTCCCAGGCAGTAGTTTAATTGATGAATATCCTGTCTTACTTATCTCCACAGAGAGATGTTAATATGAATACGAACAGATATTAACATGTAAATGGGTATACTATAAACATATGTTTGTATAGAAATACATCTCTCTATATGTTTTTACATGTTAATCCGTATCTTTGTACACAGACATGAAGGAATATGTATCTATAAATGTATATATATATATATATATATATATATATATATATAGCTATATATAAATGCATATATGTACATTCCAATGTACTAGATTAATTAAAATTGTTCTTAGGGGGGTAATTCCTTTGAAATCTTTCTTAATTTGGGGAATTTTGAGACACAATCACACTTTGTAGTTCGTCCTGGCCTTGAGTTCACTGTGCAGCCCAGGCTAGGTTCAAACAGGTCAGCTACATATCCTCATTCCATCAGAAACTGCTCACTCACTGTACAGACACCCAAGGGTCTGTGGTTAACTCACCAGTTCAGTCACCATGGGTTTGGAAGACATTTCACTGCTACTAACAGCAGCTTATAAGCTGAAGACATAACATAATGTCTGCAACCAGTGTTGTAGTCATTCTCCCCGTTTGATTCATCCTGGAGCATCCTGAACTCATTTTAGTGTCTATCCTGCTGTTTGCTGGCCATGTGACATGGGAGGTGCACTCTCTCCATCTACCTAAAAACTGTATCCCATTCCTTCTGATAAGAATGGTGACAAGGTTTAGCAGAAAATTAAATGGACTGGTGTGCCTTACATACTTTATTATGAAAGATTCTTACAGAAAAACTAAGTAAAGACATCCACATTACTTTTCCATTTCTACAGAAAGATTTCACATGATTTCACTTCTTGAACATGCAAAAGTCATCATGTTACACTTCTGCAGGTCAGAAGTCCAACTCAGTGTTCAGTGTGATAGAGCCAGGATGCTGTCAGGATGCATTCACTCTGGAGGATCCAGGAGGGAATCTGTCCTTTTAAAGTCCTAGAGGTGTCCCAGAGCCTGTGTCCCTCATATTCTTACTCCCAACATTTCCTCCTGGCCCCTCTCCAGGTCATACCTCTGTGTGTGGCCTCCCTGTGTGCTGTCCAGATGTCAGTACTGAGAAACTTCAGTCCATAGGAAAGAAGGGTAAGATTTTGTGTTACAGAGATTCTGCTTTGCATTTTTTCAACATCAGTTAATTAAAAATATTCCATTGTTAAGGAGGAAAACTTTGTTCCCCTGTGGGAATAATGAGCTAGCTGATTCCATTTATGCATCCATTTTCAATTGCAAATCAGCATTGTCTGTTCTAAGACAGCGAAGACAGTGAGTTTTAAAGTTGTTTTTTCTATAAAGTGGCCATTGTTTGCTTGCTTAGTGTGTACCAGGAGAACAGACATATTGAGTGGCACCATGGAGAGCCCATGATGATGTTTTCAGTGTGGTGTAAAGATACAATGGGATGCACCAAGGTGAGATCCTCACCTCCAAAGGAGCTATCTATGGAATTATGACAGCAGGAATGACTGATATACTTTATCCAAAATTAAAAACAAATGTGTTCCCTAGAAAACACAGCAATTTAAATAGTTTGTGGTGTTCACATTGAAGGAAAGCTCTCTATGAGTATCTGAGACATCTAGAGCATTTATGCAGGGTGCAGGCAGCAGTGAGTCTCAGGTGAGTTTGTTGTGGGTGAACAGAGTGCACCCTGGAAAGCCAATGGGTACTTACTGGTCCTAACTTAGAGCCAGAATATGTTTTTCAACACACAGTTACACATGTGTCAAAATCAATAGTATTGTATACTAGAAATGTGGCTTTTTATAAATGTAAAATTTATCCATATCATCCTGTCTTAAAAAGGAAAAAGTTCTGTGACTGTGGCTCTGCTGTAGCACTGAGCATTATGGAAGCCCATACGAGGAAAATAATGTATTGATTTGTGCAATTATTATCTAAGGGAACTGTTATTCTCTATGGCTAACTTTTTTTCTCGTACAAATGTTGAAGATCTTTTGTTTTGGGGACTTTCATGGGAGCTGTTAAGTACTGAGTTGGGTAATATTTTCATTTAAAGTTTCATTAAAATTCAAAAATGAGGATTGTATGATCCTTTCTTGTACAGATGGTAATTCTGCATACACAGTGTTAAATGGAGATGCTTGAGTCTGGCCTCAGGCTCTGGTATGCAATCTACCCAGTGGACCCAGCAGTTGGCTTCCTAGCAGCTGGCCTTGAGGATGTCACCCTCTTGCTGACTCACCTTTGTTGTGGGGCTCTGCAGATCCTGCTGCTGTCTGAGAGCAAAGTAGAGCAATACGGTGCTGAGGTCTTCATTTTCAACCAAAAATTTTCACTATCCTGTTAAGGCTGGACTGTGTGCTTCTCTGCTCAGAGGTTTCTTTCCCTGTGGAGGAGGCACGGCCATCACTTCAGATCCAGAATGAGACCCTCAGTTCTTCATCTTAGCCATTCTGTGTAAGTCAGGGAATTTTCCCCATGCTATGATTTTTCATTTGAATGTAGGAATGATCCATCTCTCACGTTAAACGTGAAATAATAATAAAAATTCTTTATTCCAAAACAAAGAGAAATGCACATCAAGTCCAGTCTGTCCTTAAAGTATTCATTAGTTTCTCTTTTTTGTCCTGACTTACTGTCATAGCTCCTAGGCCCCCTGGTTAGGCACATCCTTGGCTGCTGTGATTGAAATTTGGTGAAGTCTGAACACTCCTCATGTCCCATTGATGTCCACAGATTGAGATGAGTATGGTCTCATGATGGATGAGGATGGAAGTTTTCTTCTGTCTGTTTTCTTGTGGATGTTTAAGACTGACCCAGCACCTCCAAATTCTAGTGAAGCACTATGCAACTGAGCTGTACCTGCAGTCCCAGATTTGAGATTTTTCTCATTTCTGCAAGGCGATACAATGTGATCAGCCCTGCCTGCTCTCTGCTGTCTAACCTTGTGTCCTATTGGGTGTCCTTTTCTCACAAATGCCTCTTCTCTGGGTCTGGTTTATGACCCTGAGATTGCTGAATTCTTCTCCTGCTCATGGCCTCATGACTCATTATTTCATTGCCCAGTTGCTATTTCCCTTGGTAATCAGGCTTCAGTTCGTTCCCCATTTTGACTACGACCCAGGTGAGAGTCTGGTGTAGCTTTTTCTCTTTTGAGAGCTGGACCTGAATGTTGAGGACTTTAACCATGAGAGTCTTTCATCACTGGTGGTGACTAGAAGCCCTGAGTTTTTCCACATGGATCACATTGTTCTCAGGGATGATCTGCAATTCACAGTGAAACTGCCTCTCACTTTCATAAAATCCTCCATGTCCTTTGAGGCCCTGGTATTTGGGACAGCCTAGGATGAAGCCAGTGAGGCATTTGCTTTGGTTGCAAAACTGAAGAAAGTGCCCACATCTCTGTCACTTGTATGATAAACTTTAATGCATCCAAAGGCCACTTGATATGAAAAAATCAGAATTGTAGGTGAAAACTGATAGAGTTACTTCCAAAAGATGAAAAATATTAACAAAAGATGAGAAATATAAAATAAAAAGCGGCCTTTATTCTGAGAACACGGAGAGAGATGACCGGCAACCCCCACCGCTGGCGTCCGGCGATCTCTCCGGCGGACACGCGGCGTGGGGGCCTGTAAATAACCTCGGTTTGGGGTGGAACCTAAGGCGGGCATTAGGGATACACAGGTAGCCCATTGGTCCTAGGTTTGGTGCCATATGTAAATTCCCAGGGGCGGGAAGATGGCGTCACAGGTAACTTCCTAGGGGCAGGGCAAGATGGGGCTTCCTGCTTCCGGTTGTGGCTTTCCTGGCTACAGTGTCCTGTCTGGGCCAAACCTTTCATATCCCGTCTTATGGTTATTATGAAAAGGGGCAAAGCTTTCTCTCTTTAACTACTTCCTGCTGGCAAAGGGCGCTGTACTGGAGCCTAGGGGAGTTGACGGGATGAAGGTTGATGCCCAGGTAGACGCTGGTACCAGGTGTTTTGGCCAGGACAGCTTCACTGGTGAATGCACGTATGTCAGACTGGAAAAACAAAGAGACAAGATGTTATGAGGAGACATGGCACTGTCATATTTAAGGACCCAGGTGAGGTAAAGGGAAAGGTGCCTTTGATTTAGACATATCATTCTATCAGGACCATGTTGAGGTAGAAACATTTCCACGGTGAGGCAGAATTCTGAAAATTAAACGTGGGGTTAGGAGGAGTGGAGTTATGAGAGGTGATTACTCCCCCATCTGAAAGCATAAAAGTTAAGACGGTAGGTTGGTAAGGCTTGTCTCTGGTATGCATGATGTTGGAGTCTGTAGGCAATACTGCTAAAGAGTCCTGCTGTAAAAATGATCATTAATAGAATGTAAGAAATTAGGAACCAAAGTGGATAACAAAACATGACTTAGCCTGTTAACTGTGGCTGCGAGGCCTTTGTGAGACGGAGACAGGTAGGAGACAGAAGATGAGATGACCACTCAGAATGATCAGATTTAGGGCTGGGAGGGCACCTCTTAGCCTGAGTGATGTGAAACCAGGATGGCAGTCTAGCAACTTTGATTTAGGCATGGGTCACTGTAACCTGGTTGTAGTCCTTGGAATGATTTGCTGTAACAGAACTTTAGCAAGTATGAGAAAGGCTTTTATGTATCCTGAAAAAGTATAAACCAAGTGAGAAGACTGGGACCTGCACAAAATAGGCCCTGTTTGTAAATGGCATAGGTTGACCATCAATACCCCATCATAGAGACTGAGGACTTAATATAGCAGCCTGAAAACTCAGGAAGAACTCTGTATATATGGCCTCTATGTCCACAAATATAGAGAATGTCTTACCTGAGAGTTTTGTGCGACTTGGAATCTGAGACGGACACCTTAAAGGGGGCTGTTGTTGCCCTGAACTTCCTCAGTCTTCAGCAGCGATTTTCTGTCGGTGACGAATCTGGCAGTGTCGACATTTCCTATGAGGGCTAGAACTTAGGATGGCTTACCCACTCTCTGGTGGCTAGGACAGTCCAGTAGCCCTGGAGTAAGGTCTCAAAGAATGCCAGGGTGGGGCATTTTCTTGCCCAGTATCTTCTGCTGCATTTGAGCGTGGTCCATGGAGGGGGCAGGCAGCTCCACCTTGTGTAGGTTTACCTGTCTCAGAACTACAAGTGTCACAAGTGTTAAAAATATAAAAAACCATATTAAGATCTCTCTAAGGTTTGAAGGTCAAGTTTTGCCTTTTTGTTTGGGATTTGGACTATAGTAGAATTAAGTAAGCATGCAGGAATTTAATATTGGCATTTTGGATTAGAGAGCAGGCTTTATCTGGATGGCATATCGCTTTTTTTATAGGGTGACATGTAGAATTAACAAAGCTTTAGTCTGCCAAACAAGGCTTTAATGGAAACATTTTGCAGTAAAGGTTTAGCAATCTTATGAATAAATCAAAACTGATCTAATACTGTCAAATTTTGAACACATTTATTTTTAAAGTTGTTATTTGCAGTAGTATGAACCAAGACAAATAAAATAAAACTTTAAAGAAAACCCTTGTCTTGAAAGACAGCTAGTGGTTCCCAGCAAAAAGGAATTTATTACCTTAGTTGTTAAACAGGAGATTGGTGAAGGCTTTGATTGATAAGCAAGGCTGGTAAAATTATCAGGTGGCCAATAACCTTGATTAAATGGTTTGAGAATTGTAATAAAAAAGCATCTTTTGAGTGGAGCCAAATTGTAAAAAAAGCATGCCTGAGCAGAGCCGCTGAGCTGCTGTTTCGCGGCGCTCCGGCAGAGCACGCCCAGTGGGTGGGGCAAGCGCTGGGATGTAGCGCGCAGGGGCGGGCTCAGACTGCCCCCGGAAACGTGTAAGATGGCGGCGGTGACGAGGACGGCGCACAGGGGAAGGAGGGGCTGGGACGGCGCATGGGGGAGGGGCTGGGAGGCGGCCCGACACAGCGTGCGAAGCTGGAACTGCTTGCAGGGCGTGAGGATTAGAAAGCCAATTTAGGAACACAGCTGGGTTTTGATTAGCCTCCTGGACCTGTTTTAAAAGTTTGTTATAGTTAGTATGCTTGTCCTGCTCTGGCACAGATATAGGCCCAGAGTCATTATAAACGTCCTTAAAATGTAAATCATAACAATTAGTAATGAATTCAAATTGCCTGATATAATTCTGTGGGTCAACAGAAAAGCTACCTAATTTATGGACAGTCTGGGATAGATCAGAAAGGGAAAAAGGCACATGGATGTTAACAAGTCCCTCGGGGCCAGCTTGCTCCCGAAGCGGTAGCAGAGCCTGAGGAGATTCCGGAGCAGAGGGCCACTGAGCAGCCATCCTTCCGGTAGGCGCATGTGAGCAATCATCTGTAGAGCGGCTACAGAGCTGCTGCCGGTCACCCTGGGAAACATGAGCAGATGGCGTCTCACTGTGTGCCTTGCAGCTAGAGGACTGCTGTCGGCAGCACAATGAAGCATCATGTGCACTGCAACAGGGCGGCTGTTGTAGTTCACAAGAGGAGCCACAAGGAGACGCCTGTTGACAGTGAGGGCCCTGGAAACATGGCGGCGCCCTGTCACGTGACCCAAAACATGGCGGCACCTGGGAATATGGCGGCACCCTGTCACGTGGCCCGAAACATGGCGGTGCCTGGGAACATGGCGGCGCCCTATCATGTGACCCGAAACATGGCGGCGCCCTGTCGCCATGTGGCCCTCCGGAACATGGCGGCGCCATGCCACGTGGCAGAGGGTTGCAACATGGCGACTGTTCCCTGCGCAAGCTGGAACAATCACGCGACCTGCTGGAAGGACATAGCGACCGAGACCTAGTATGGTGGGCAGAGGGTGAGAATGCTGTAGGGGATACAGAATTCTCAGGAGAGGAAGTCGGAGACTGCGAGGAAGCGCTAACAGAGGGATTAAAGCTGCTGGGAGAGTTATGGGTCCCGGAAGGCAGAGAGGGAGCCGATCGCACAGCGGGAGGTATCTGCGACAGAGAGGGATTAGAGCTGCTGGGAGAATCAGGCATAGGGGGAGGAGAGAGTGGCCCGGCGGGAGGTAACGGCAGGGAACGAGTTTGGTGGTAGGCAGGCGGTGGCCGGGAAAACGGATGGCAGGAAGGAAAAGTTTGCGGCGCAGTAGACTTAGCTAAAAGTATCTCAGCGGGAGCACAAGACTTAATGAGAGATGGGCGTGTTCTCAGAATAAGAAAGGCTTGGACATAAGGGAGTTCTAATAACTTGTTGCCAGCTTGACAAAAATCGTACAAGTTCCTGAGAATGCAGGGGTCAAATGTTCCTTGCTGAGGCCAAGGCTTGCCGATAAGCGGGTAGGTTGGCCAGACCTCCTGGCAGTAAAAAGTTAGTTGTTTAGTTTTTATGGTACCTTTAATTTTTAGAGTACGTAAATTGGAAATTAGGCATTTTAAAGGTGTCTTTTGGGAGTTAGAAAATACGTTCCCCATGACTGATTCAGGCAAGAAAAAAACCGGAGGTCCAGAAAAAAGTCGTCACTTATTTGTGGTACCACGCGGCGGCTACGGTTCCAAACCATAAACTCCAGTCATCACTGAGAGATTTACGAATGGAGTCTACGTGGGGTCAGTAACAGTTTTGCCCGTGAAAGCGCAAGGCTTTAAGGGAAGTGAGGCATTCTTTCAGTGTGGGCGGTCCCAAAAATCTCTGCTTTGGGCTATCCGAACCCAAAGAACGTGAGAGATTTTGTGGGCGCAGGTTTGCCCAGAAAGAACCCTGCCCTGGGCGGTCCTAAGGACGTGAAAATGCACAGACCCACGCAGACGGGGAGAACATTCCACTGGGGCTGCCCAGTGCGAAAAGTTCCCCGGGGAGTGCTCACCTGAAATCAGTCTGGCCGATGCGGAGTGCAGGCGGCTGGCGACAGGAACGTCTCGGGAGAGGAAAAAGCTCGGGATTAATCCAGGATGGTATCTGGTTATCGGCGAGGAAACTCTGGGTATGTGGCCCAAGAGTTAGTTGCCTGCCGATCGAGTCACGGCAACAAATGATAGAGTTATTTCCAAAAGATGAAAAATATTAACAAAAGATGAGAAATATAAAATAAAAAGCGGCCTTTATTCTGAGAACACGGAGAGAGATGACCGGCAACCCCACCGCTGGCGTCCGGCGATCTCTCCGGCGGACACGCGGCGTGGGGGCCTGTAAATAACCTCGGTTTGGGGTGGAACCTAAGGCGGGCATTAGGGATACACAGGTAGCCCATTGGTCCTAGGTTTGGCGCCATATGTAAATTCCCAGGGGCGGGAAGATGGCGTCACAGGTAACTTCCTAGGGGCAGGGCAAGATGGGGCTTCCTGCTTCCGGTTGTGGCTTTCCTGGCTACAGTGTCCTGTCTGGGCCAAACCTTTCAAAAACAAGATCTTCCTTGTGAACAAATAAATGTCAATAAGGGTCGTGTGATATTGTGGCAATATGATATTGGTAAGATTATTTGATTCATGATGTTGGTAGTGTTTCTGTCACCAGTTCTGATCAGTGGCTGGGTTGATAGCCACATTGCATGTGTGTATTGCAAGGTCGTTAGAGTCCAAGACACTTGATTTCTGAAAGGTGGAGAATGGCTTGTGTGCTGTGTTTAGCTGGCGCGGGGATGTGTGCGAGTGTTAATTCTAATGACTGCAAGAGCACTGGATCACTTTAGGAGGAGGAGGGAAATGATGTTTCACTAGTGTTCTGTATGAGCCTGTTTTCTGTAACTAAAAGGCAAATAATGAACAGATTAAATGCCTAAAACTTCCTGAGATACCTGTGACACTTCTGCAGTAGTTGAACCAGAGCATAGTGTTGTAAGCAAAATAGTGCAACAAATCTTAGTTTGAAAGTGATTGAACAATGTCCCTAGAAACTTTCAGTGCATGAAGCTGACCAGAAGAGGGCACCACATGCACATTCACGTACTGTAGGTGAAACTTTCAGTATCTGGCTGTGACCCTACAAGTGAAATTGGCACATTTTGTAGCAATCAGACCCAGGGGGAAATTTCCTTGGAGTGTAATATAGGTTAAGTTTACAATTGCAAAGTGAAAAATGGTTCCATTAATGTTATTTTTGCCCTGGGGCATTAATCTCTCTGACTTCTTTTCTAATTTTTTTTTTCTTTATCTTAGTAGCCATTTCTTCTTGACCTCCCCTGTGGATCTGTCTTCATCTCTTTGCATTGCACACTGGGCTACCATCCTGGTCTCAGTCTGCTTTCATTTGTTTCGCTCACCTTGTCCTTTGGAATTGGTCCTCCTAGCTCAGTGTAGTTCCCTGATCTCCAGAATCCCTCCTGTGCCTCTGGGTTAGGATAGTGCAAGCTGGAGGCTGGGAACTCCTCACAATTCTAATCTGCGCCCTCATATATCCTAAGTCTCCCCTGCTGCTCACTGTTGCTTCCCTTCAACTCTCCTGTTCTCACAATATATGGTTTGAAATTCTCTGGTTGTTCAGTTTCAAACCAATGGAACAGGCATCCTGAATTTCACCTTGTTCTCACACATCACATCCAGAAAGACAACGCAGTTCATTTGTTTTGCCTTTAAAATATAGTCATCTGCCTACTTTCACTACAGCATCTGGGGGATCAATATCCTGCATGAAGACCTTGAGGTGAAGAGTGTTCATCTCTCTCTCTTCCTTGTCACTGGTTCTTTTTGCTCAGCTGTCTTCCTCAATCTCTCTTCTGGTCAGAGGAGCTGCACCTTGTTGTTCTGATTCTCCAAACTCTTCCTCTCACACAGAGCAGTCTGTACTGTGCTGTTCCCCAGACAGAAGTGCAGGAGGGCAGCTGGGCCTCCCCAGGCAGGGAAGTTTGTGTTCCAGGCTGTAGCACCATGGGAGGTTCATGTGTACCTTGCACAAATTTTTTTGTGATTTTCATATATACTAAATGTGTTCAATTACAATAAAGTACTGAGGATTAGAACCCTTCTTGAGAATTAATGTGCATCATCCTTTTCTTTCTTTGTGACATGGTCACCTCACCATAGTCCCGACTCCAGTGGAATCTTCTTCATTCACACAGACCTCAAGCTCTTGTTCTCATCCTGTCAAGAAAAGCTGCAGTCTCTCATGTGGAGGGAACAACACAGGAAACAGTGGGACCCCATCGCTCTCAATTGCTCTCCTTCCTTTTCTCCCTCCAT